TGCAAAGCCCTTTCAGCAGCCCACCCCACGCAGACTCGCCCCCCACCCCTCCCTCGTGAGCATGCGCGTAGACTTCTCAGACCACGTACAGGTGATCGTTAGTGCAGGTGTACCGGAACCCCATTTGCTCCAGCCTTTCTTCCAGGATTTTCACGGTGCCTTCTCCACAGGATTCCCTAAAACATAAAAAACATACATTTAAGAACTAAATGGGTAAAGGAGAAGGAGGAAGAAGCAGTTGTTTCTAGGTTATCTAAAATTTCTTTTGACCATGTGCTCAGGCTGCTTCATGCAAACTTGTGGCCCCCAGCAGAGGATGCTCTGAGGACCACCAACGGCGCTAAGCCGGAGGAGGGCCACGCCCACGGGGAGGGCGAGAGCTGGCGCATGCGTGAGGCTCTGCCCCAGCACAGGCCTAAACCCCCCCCAAGGCAACACGTGTCTGCTATGTGCTCCGGGGGCCCGGCAGGATACTAACTGACAACTTGTTCAACCTATGTTCTATTCACTTTAAGCTTTAAGCACAAAAACATACCCACTTAAAAATGTTACGAAATGCAAATAAACAAAAGAAAAAAATTACCCCAAATCTCAACATCCCTAGATACAACTGTTGCTAACATTTTGGTGCATAGCAGTCTAGACTTTTTAAATACATTTATTTTCACAGGTCTTTTTAAATATAGCAACGGGACTCTGCTATCCAGTGTGGTTTGTGTTCTGCTTTATCCCCTGTGTGTGTGTGTGTTTGTCTGTGAGAGAGAGAGGGAGAGAGAACCCCTGGTGAGGGCTTTTGGGTTTCAGATGAGCATAACCACTGTTGACCCTTACAAACACATAAGGAACTCCCTATCCAAAGCTGCTTGAGTCATTCAGAAAAGAACACCATTTTCTCTGGCTAAGAGCGGTCTTCTGGATAAAGAAGGTTTTCTCTCTCGGGACTAGCTACTGGTGTTCCCAGACAGTCAGGCCTTTGTCTATCTCCACAAATTCCATTATAAACAAAGACTGTCATTTCCTCAGAACTGAAAATATAAAATGGACTTGATCACATCATATTCAAGAAAAGCAAATTTGCATAGTTACCACCATCAAAATATCTCCATAACTTACACATTGGGTCCCCCAATTTCATGCATAACCCAGATCTCAATTCGTGTGATTTTATCCTTCTGCAAGTGCGGAACTTCAAAATCTGCAAAAAACCTGAGAAACAAGCAGCACATTTCTTATGGTCTAACACAGGAGGATATTTTCCCTGTTTCAGTTGTTGGTTGATTTGCACAATTCCTTTATTCTTTTAATTTTTTAGGATTTTTAAATAAGCTTTTATTTTTAGATTACTTATTTTATTCAAGTATCATCAGCTATTGATAATGTAACTCTACAGACCTGGTTCTGGTCACCAAGTCATTCAATTATTTTGCTTTACCTGAATTGATAAAAGCAAACATTAGGTTGAGGATTAGGGCCATTCTCTGTAGCCTGTTTCAATGAAACTAAATACACATTTTGTCCTCCTCTGTTGTTATCGTGGGTTCCAGGGTTCTTACCCTTTGACGGGATAAGCTCCTTTTGGCTCTGAGCCATTCAGCATGACAGAGACCACCCCAGAACTATCTGTTGAGTACTGCAAGAAAAACCACATAATTTTAACAAACAAAGACAGCATTTTTCTGCTATGAAATAAGCACTTTTGAAAATTGACAGCTCTCAATATTGGCAAGGATGTGATCAATTTGGTATTTCATCTAGCCAGTAGAGATGCAAGCTGGTTTATTTTGGAAAGCAAATTGCCTTAAAATGTTGAAAACTCATATTTAATAATTCCATGGCTGGAAATCTACTCTAAGAAGATGCTATCAAATACACAGAACCTTATCACCTGCAATAAATTAGGTTATGTGGTCATAAATAACAGCCTCAAAATTGCAATGGCTTTAAACAACAAAGATTGATTTAGGGTTCATGCCACGTGTTTATCTCAGGGCCACTGGGGTTCTGATCCACATGTTCTAACTCTGGGACACATCTTCAAAGTCATGATAGTCAGGGAAGCAAGAGGGGAAGTGACAAACCACAGGCCAGTTCCACTAAGAAGTCACACATGTCACTCCCACTTACATCTCATTGGCCAGTATAAGTCACATGTAAAAAACGTCAAGAAGCAGGCAAGTGCAACCTGTGAGCTCAGTAGACAAGCCAGAAGTATTTGGCAAACACCATTAAGGACTCCAGCCAGCACCCTGCATAAAAGTGTGCAGTACAGCCTTGCTGGTGAGACAGAAATATTCAACCAATATAATATCCTCGACACAGGAAACAGTAAGTAAACCAAAGTACTTATATGTCTGAAATATCAGCCAGTCTCTTGTAAAAGTCTACAAAGTAGCATAAGAAGTGCTTACAGTCAAAGCAAAGTGTGAGATTAGGTGAGGAGAGCAGGAGCTCTACTATGTCGAAGGTGAGTGAGCAGAAGTCTGCAAGTTCCCAGGAGAGAGATAGAGCCAGAGAAATTCCCAAACATCAGGTTTGGAGTACCACCCATCATATTCCTTCCCTCATACAATGTTTATATCAGGATGAAGACAGAGGTAGAGGGGGATGACGTGGCACTGGGGTGTGCATAGCTGGGTTTGCTGGCTTGCAGAGTAGCATCCGATATCAGCCGCACCCAGGCAACAGCACCCCGGCAACAGCACCCCCTCTCACCCTGCCTCAGACTGCTTCTGGGCAGTGTCAACACTCACATTAAATCTTTCTTTAAATACCAAGGCCTGGTGACCACTATGCTGAAAGGGTGGCCTTTAGGTGGTAGGAATATAGGTATAATTAACTTTCTCATTCATATTTTCTGTAATTTATCATTCTCCATCATGAGCAGCTATACATGTAACATTGACAATAAGAAAAAAATTATTAAAAAATGCATATAGATACAATGAGGCTATATAATGTGGTGGCTGAAAGTCTCCAAATTGTGTCTCCCCTACTTATTAACTCGGTAGCGCTAGTAAACTTCCATGAGCTTGCTGTACCTCACTCTACCCATCTGTAAAATAAGGGTATTAAGAGTGTCTCCCTCATAGGATAGTTATAAAGATGAAAGTATTTAAAACAACAATTATTAACATTTTTTGTAGACTTACCTGCTGAGGTTCAAACCGGCTCGGCATCACTGTACCTTGTGCCTTGACTACTCAACATATTCTAAGAGCTCAAAAAGCACGAGCTCTATTCTACTAGAGACTCACGTTAGAGACCTGGAGGAAGCTGGGGGTGGTGGTTTGGAGCTGAGGTCTGAGAGGTCCACTGGCTAGAACATATGGTTTCCGTGACATATAATGCTGACATCTCCCCTGAGTTACTGTCTCAGCCCCCTACCTGCGGCAGGTGACCATAGCCTGCCAGTTCTGAACGAGGGGCTCTGGCAGCCCCTGCAAACTGGCTGGAGCCTGAGCTTGAGATAAAACCCATGGGGAGTGAGAGCAAATGATGCTCCCATGGGAGCCGGCAGGAGAGCGCAGAAATGAACAGAATGTCTTTTTGCTCCAAACTGCAGCCACGATGGAGAGTCTGACCAAAGTCACTCTCACCCTGACACACAGTGGGCACCTGGGCCTCCCGAGTGGAAGATGGGGCCGGAAGAGACAGGGATAGCCCTGAAAGGGGGTTGGCGGTGGTGAGTGTAAGCACCCTGACATCCCCCTGGTCAGCATGGCCAACAGTCAGCAGCTGGCCACTGAGCTAAGGACTTAACTCTCTTTATTTCTCACTTTTATTCTCAACCTGGTGACAGAAAACGTAAACGGCAGTCACTGGCATTTCATAGCTATTGTCAACTCTGGGGACGGTATCCTTTACACCTACATTAGAGGCATATCTCTGTGTCTCCAGCTGATCCTCCACCTCCTGCCACCGACCTGATCTCCCATTACTATCATTCTTGTGGGCAAGAAATAATAAGTGATGATTTAATAACCTCATTGACAGAATCTGGAATGTTTTCTCATTCCAGACACCCCATTAAGCATTTTATCCCCTTAAATCCTCAAAACATTACAGAGCAGAGAGCACGATCGGGATGTTAGAAAAGTGGGAAGTGGGGGTAAATAACCACGCGGGCTTGCGTGTTCACGGGTCCGACACATGTTCCGTGACTCAGCCACCCATCTCCGGATCACCTGGACCGACGCCCTCTTCCAGAAGGAGTCCACGGCGTTGTTCTCACAATCTTCTGATGCAGGGCAGGACTGGTAATCAAGTCCTTAGGGGAAAGCAGACAAATACATTTCGTTTCAAATATTTCATCAGGGAAGAATTTATTCAGAATATTTTGCTGGCTCCACAAAATACACTCAGCCTGCATTCCGTACAATTGGTACAGATCTAACGCTCCTAGTACTGCCCACTCAGTCCACAGCTGCCTGGCCAGTGACTATCCAGGCCATGATACAAAGATGTCCGTCATTTTTCTCGGCATAGATGTGGGAAAGCAAAGCGGGAAGCAGCTGGTTAGTGTAGAAACGCAGCTGACCACTGAGCCCTAGCTCAGCGTTACCAGATGAAGAGGGTCCGGCCGCCTGTCACTGTCAGCCAATAAGCAGAGATGGGAATAGGAGCTCACCAAACTTCATGTGTCAGAAGGCAGGGATCCTGGGGAACAGTGAGAGTAGCCTCTCCAAGACTGCTCTGTTCTTCCTTTTCCAAAATTACAGTTTTATCTTTTTTTTATTTTTTACAGTTTTTGGTGGGGGCTGGGTTTGAACCCGCCACCTCCAGCATATGGGGCCAGCGCCCTACTCCTTTGAGCCACGGGCGCTGCCCCAAATTACAGTTTTACATAAAAAAGTTCAAAGGAAAGACCACACCAACCCCTCTTCCAAATAATAATCAGCATAACTCAGAATTGAATTCCAATTCAAAAGTTAATCTCCTAAATCAATCCACCTAAACTACTCAACATAGGCACCTTTCAGGTGGGAGCTAAATTTATAAAAAAGTAAAAATGGGAGATGGGGTGAAGCTCAGGCAGGACCTAACCCAGGCAGCCCCAGCCTGCCTGCCAGACTCCATCATATTCTCACCAAATGTGCTCTCACTGTGACATGAGACACTCCCACAAACACACACAAAACAACTTTTCACTTTGTTCAGACAAGTGCCTCCTCCAAACATTCAATTGTCAGCCCCCGTCTTAGAAGTAAATACAAGGAAAAAGAAAGCCAAGAATATCATAACCCTTAGCTAGAACATAGACTTCTTTTTTGAAACAAAGTCTCAAGCTGTTGCCCTGGTTAGAGTGCTGTGGCATCATAGCTCACAGCAACCTCCAAATCTTGGGCTCAAGCGATCCTCTTGCCTCAATTTTTCTATTTTCAGTGGAGACAGGATCTTGCTCTTGCTCAGGCTGTTCTCAAACCTATGAGCTCAAGCAGTCCACCTGCCTCAGCCTACCAGAGTGATAGGATTACAGGCGTGAGCCATTGCACCCAGCTAGAACATAGAAGTTTTATTACATTTTGAAATACATAAAATGCTAAAATATACTAAATTTTTAAAATTTTGGGCCAGGTGCAGTGGGACATGTTTGTAATCCTAGCACATTGGGAGGCCAAGGTGGGAGGATCACTGGAGCTCAGGAGGTGGAGACCAGCAAAAGGGAGCCCCTGTCTCTGCTAAAAACAGAAAAGCAGCTTGATGTGGGGGCAGATGCCTATTGTCCCAGCTACTCAGGAGGCTGAGGCAGGAGGATTGCTTGAACCCAGAAGTTGGAGGTCACAATGAGCTATGATGATGCCACTTCACTCAACCCCCAGCAAAAGAGTGAGACTCTGTCTCAAAAAACAAACAAACCAACAAAAGGCTATCAGTCAGTGGATGTGGGATGTGCTGTTCACTCTATAAAGAAAAGAGACCTCCCTAACTGGCAAGAGGTTGTTCCAGGAAGTATCTCTAATGGGGGAAATGTGTAGTGCCTGAGGGGAATGGTGTTAGGGGTAGTGCAAAGTTGGTGATTCACAATGTTTTTCTTTTTTCTTTTCTTTTTTTTTTTGAGACGGAGCCTCAAGCTATACCCCTGGGTAGAGTGCCATGGCATCACGCTCACAGCAACCTCCAACTCCTGGGCTCAAGCGAGTCTCCTGCCTCCGCCTCCCAAGTAGCTGGGAC